AAAAAAAAAGACCCCATAAAAAACAAAAGACACACACCCCCATCTAGTCTAGTGACAAACAATCAGCAAGAGAAAGGCCTTCAGATTCTAATTAATAAAAAGCCTTCAGTTCTAGATGTAACTGACAACACCAGAAAATCCTCGGCATCCTAATCCTATGATGGCATCTCTAAGATTTGAAATTTTCTACTGATGAAGGCTAGTAGTTTCTACAAATACCTTTTTTGGGACAGTGCCATATATCATTATAACAACCCATAAGCATTGCCTGGAAAATGCACCTCCCCATTATTGTCATTCCAATTGAAAAAACAAAAAACAATAATTACTACAAATGGAACTTCAATCCAAATATATCAAGCAGATATAATCAACCCTCCTTTATGTTTTTATGCATATACCAGTTTCAATATGTCTACTTTGAGCAGGGAAATGCAGGTTTAGGACAGTGACTATTGTTCTTAACATAGATGGTCAGGTCCTTTTAAAGATAAAGAAACTCCATCTTCTGACTGTCTTTTCAAGTGCCAAAGAAAGTAAGCAACAATGTGTGCTAAATTTAAGCGCTATAGCGACTATTGAAGATTTAAAAAAAGGAACCAAAATTTTTCGTATGCAGGTATCGTGTACAACTTGCACGGAAAGCCTGTTAAAGAGCCCATTGAGGACGGTGTTGCATATTTCTCCATCAATATGACAACAAGCCAGGGAAGGATAGAACTCATAATTGATGATTACATGCAATACAGAACATGGACGGTGACCATAAATCACATGCTAATGCTCACCGCAAGCTTTGGAAAATGTGGAAGTCCACTTCTGTAGAAACTGTATTCGATTGATTGTGCAAAAAAAATTGTGAATTTTTACTCTTTTTTCATGTTCACAAATGTTTGAACATAGGGAATAATGTGTGAAGTTTGTATCTTGCTACATGTGTTTGTGATTTCAACATATATTTATAAATAAAAGCTGATTTTTCAGAGAGGATCAGAGACTTCATAATTCATTATTTTCTGAAACAAGAATTTGCCATTCAGTGATTCTTTTCAAATTACACCACGCTAAGTTAGGAAAGTCAAGTGTGTTTTCGCTGATAGCGTGGCATATATGCTTTGATAACTGGGGGTTTGTTAATTGGTGCAAGCAAAAATAAGTCGAGAGAATCAATTCCATCATAAAATTAATTCACATTTAGGTTGTTTTCCATTTCTATCACTAAATTTGATAATCCATACATAAATATGTTGACTATTGTCTATAGCAACACTATGCGACAATTTAAAGCCCTCCTCACATACATCATAGATGTTATGTTGAGACGTGAAACATAAATGTAGCATGCTCCTGACAACTTTTTGTAAGAAAAAACCAAACAATTTAAATTACCAAAGAGAATGAAATTGAAAGGTTTACTGTATAACTAAATATATCTTACATGTACATTTGCGTAAAAACCAGAAAAACCAAAATCCCATGAATTGTCACACTAAATTCAAACAAACCAGAAAACAAAATGTTTTAGATGTCATTAGTGAGCAGCACTCACCACTAATTACAAGCAAAGCCATATAGATCAGCGTTCAATTTGACACACTAAATTCAAAGCTTTACTTTCCTAATTCACAAAAATTATTTAGAAGAGATGATCACGACTGGAGAAGATCCATTATTCAATAGGCCTCCATCTATTTTTAAATTCCAAGATGGATTATGGGCAATTTCCAAAAATAATAATATTAGTAATGCTTTCAAATCTTACACATTGCGTTGAAGGAACAAGAGATTTCATGAAATGGAAGGTCAAGTTTGGTTGAGCCTCTCACCTTCAACTAGGGTTCGCTCGCAGTTTCCCTCTGATGGAGGCCCAAGAAAAAAGAAATCCCCAAAATAGGGAAGATGCAACTGCAACATGGACTCCTGGGGAAATGAAAGTCAGGCCCGCTTCAGCATATGGGCCTATTGGGCCTGCTTTTTACAAATCTTTTCCTTCCTCCTTCTGATTGGGAAAACTTATGAGGGTTTTTTTTATTGATGTTTTTGCTTATAACCCCAAAGTTCCACAACCATTTACTTCGTACCCCCACGTAGTTCTATATGTTCTCATGCATCAAATATATAAAGTTTACTTACCTTAAACGCAAAGTATAGAATGCAATGTGTATAGCTACATAGAAGAGGGCGTATCCACCTTGACCAAAGTGGGATCACGTTAGCTACTTTAGCTCTATATATTTTTAGGGGGCAAAAAATCCTCTAAAAGTGTGAACCGCAATTTCATTAGAAAAAAATATCGCGCTGCACCACCCATGTGAAAATTGCCATTAACATCATTAAAAAAATTTATGAAAGATGTTGAAAGTTGAAGAGGGCTTTCTGAGAAACTAAAAGCTTAAGGAGGATTTTGTGTAGTTTGAAGTCCTTTATTTATTTATTTATTCTTTTTTTTGGGTGGGGTGGGTGTTATCCAATAAACAATTGAAGGTATTTCTGTAAAATTTATCCACTAAAAACTCACCTTTCCATTCAAGTTCATAATATTATACTCTTTACTTATGATTATATTGAGAAATATTTGATGGTGCTACTAATGATATAATTATATGTTTTTTTAATATGAAAATTCACTAGAGGGTGTTGTAAAAGTTTTTTAATTAATTATAACCCACCTGAGGGAGTTGTAAATTTTTTTTAATAACTTATGCAGTGACACAACTTTTTAAAAAATTCTAAATAGTGTTACTATCATCTAGTACGGAGTTACGCTCTCTATTTCAAGTAGCTATACACTTGGTATTCCATACTTTGGTTTTAAGACAAGTAAACTTTGTATTTCGTTTGTGTGAGAACATGCAGAACTGCATAAGTAAATTGGGGTTGATGCTTTGGATTTATAAGGAAAAAGCTCTTTTTTATTTTGGCGTTTCATATTTACTTGGCTGTATGAAAGGGGACTAAAGTAAATTTCGACGTAATTAAGTCATAGTTGAATTTCTTTTAGCTATAAAATAAATTTAAGTTGTAACCTCAATTAAAACTAATGAAGCAAAAATCCAAGATATTTAATTATTGGCTTTATCACACGTAACTAGGTACCATATATTTTCCCTAGCTTTGCACTTATATAACCTGATTTGTTTTTAGTTGCACTCACCACAACAAAAGTTATAAATTATGATACATTTTTTGTCTCTACGTGACACATTTTTGTGTCGCATAAATCGAGCGCGACACATCAAAAGTGTGATTAGAGCATGTATGGAAAGCGTTTTTCTACTCATGTGCGAATGTGTCGCAAAACTCATGACATATATATGTCGAAAGCGGTGACAAATACATGTGTCACAAAACTCGTGACACATACATGTGTCAAGAGTGGTGACACATATTTATGTTTAGACCATGGAAATATAAAGAGTATAACCATTTAACACTACAACTTCCACAAAAAGGTCATCCGTCTTAGGATTAATCTCATCAAAACACACTTAACGATAGAGTTTTTTTAGCTTATACACTAATCCTAAGTATCTAATTGTAGGTTGTCTAGAAATCACTGTAGATAGTTGATCCCCATCAAACACTGATGATGAAAGTTATAATTTGACGGCTTTCAGAAGACTACAATTTGAAGACTTTCACGTAGATTGATGAATATTACAATCTGACGACCTTCGTAACAACTGATGAAAGCTCTAATCAACAGCCTTCACAATCAACATCCGGAGTTACAACCTGACAACTCTCATATTTTCAAGGAGCCAAGAAGAAGTTGACAAGATGATGATCTTTGCAACGCTCTAGCAAAAGATACCATAAATTGATGGTCTCTTCACATCAAAACGCAAAGGTCGGACCTACGTTTCAACATCAAAACGCAGAGGTCCTCCCTGCGTTGTAACATCAAAAATGCAGAGGTCTTCCCTACGTTGCAAAATCAAAACACAGAGGTCCTCCCTGCGTTGCAACATCTAAACGCAGACTTCATTGCTGTGTTTTCAGCCCAAAACGCAAAACCCAACTCTGCGTTTCGGATTTACAACGATGTGCGAACACGGCGTTTTCAGCCTAAAACAGGCCCAACTCCGTGTTTCAAGTCTAAAACGCAGAGTTCGGGCCCAGAATGTCATTTTTTGGCATTTGACTCGTTCAAATACGAGCTAAACGGTTTTAGGAACCATTTTTCCCCCACGTTTAGAGGAATTTTCGCCCCCACTTAGGAGCGAATTAATGAGGCAGTTACACCCCTTAATCCCCTATAAATATCTCAAAACTCAGAAGAGTTCATGATCTTTTTGGGGCAGATCAAGATCAGAGACCATTGAGCGGATTCTGGCATAAAATCGCAAAGAGAGAGATCGGCGTTCATCCTTCAGCAACGTTCAACAGTAGGAAGCTTTCATCCTTGGCTATTAACTGATTTTCTGTTCAAATCAACTCTTTTTCAAGATTTTAAACTCGCTCTGAGTTATCAACTCGTTCAGAGTTTCAAACTTACTACGCAAGTTATCCTCGACATCAATCAAGAGGATTCAACTGTGTTCCACGAGTTCAAGACGCTCGAATCGTCAACGAGAAGCAAACTCAACGCGAGCATTCGAGGAAAGCATCTCATCGCTACCATGAAGAACCCAGACTTAAACAAAGGGGAGGATCTCCGTCGATCTGCTTCTCTTTTGTAATCAGGAATTCAATTGTAATTGAGTTTGAGAGAGTTATAAACATTTTTTTTCTAAGCAGTTAGAGGGAATAAATCAAATTCAATTCTTTCATTTTCTTATTACGAATTTTCCCACAAACACTAATCATCATCATAATTAACATCTAACATTAATTTATTATTTAAGAGTATTAATATATCCTCTCACAATTCATGTTGACCTATTAGTCTTTTTCACTTATATTTAAGTTTATATCTAATGACACAAGTATGTGTCGTGATTTGTCACACTTGGTATTCGTGTCGCTATTGTTTAATTCTTTGTAAATAAAATGACACTTTTATATGTATCATAAAATAAGTGTAGACATATACAATTTTTGTTGTAGGGAATTATATATCCTAAATTTTTCAAATTTTGCACTTGGCAAATATGAAATTCAACCCTTAGGTTTTATTAAGTTTACTGTTGAAATAACCATAAATCTATTTTAAATATATTCTAACTATTTTTGAAATAGATTTTTATAGTTAACATCAAATTTAACAAATATTAAGAGTTAAAAATTTCTGAAATCAACATGCGAGTAATACATGAGAAATTTTTAAGGAAAATCTTACTTTTGCATAATTAAGGTTATTAAATATTTGTAAACTTTAAAAACTGTAAAGTGTATAAGGGGCTGTTTGGTTGGGGTTTTTTTTTTTGGAAAACTGCAGTTATGGAACAAAAAGCAACTTTTAGGGCTTTTTTGGATTCCAAAAACCGCGTTTGTTTCCCACTTTTTTTAGGAAAAACAAAAAGCAACTTTTAGGGCTTTTTTGGATTCCAAAAACCGCGTTTGTTTCCCACTTTTTTTAGGAAAAGGATTGCCAAAATACTGACAAACTTTTGGATTCCAAAAACCGCGTTTGTTTCCCACTTTTTTTAGGAAAAGGATTGCCAAAATACTGACAAACAGTAGCTTTTTTTGGACACCCCATTTCCACTATTTTTGAGTGAAATTGGGCTGGAAATCTGACACAACACTTCCAGCTCAGCGTTTCCTTTTCTCTTCACTCGAAGAACTTGGACCCGTTGTTGATACCCTCACCGCCTCATCTTCAGTTGCCTCTTCTCTTCTACCTTTCCCTCCTTCGTTTCGCGCCGATTCAAGAGAAAAATCAGGTAACCGAGACATCAATCGGCGGCAAATCGATCTAGAATGGTTGATTAGATCCCTGCTGGGACACCTCGAACGCACGTAGCCCTTGATTTCAAAAGGAATTTTCTGATGTTAGGGTTTTACAAGTCTGCGATTTTCTAATGA